ACATAAATGGCTTATTTACTTTTGAACTTGGTTCAGCTAAAGTGAAACATGAAGTGACATCAAAGGGGAACTCTTAGAGAAAGAAAACTCTCTGGTTTTTGTTTCCTGAAACAGTATTATTTGAACTCTGACTCTTTCTTATCTCTCTGTGGGGCATAATCGTATCGCGTGCAATTAATCGTCAGGAAAAACATTAATCGATTACTTTTTGTCACTTGACGATTAATACGATTAATGCCACCAAATATGACAAACATTAAAAATAAAGTTCTGTATTTTTTTATCTATCAACACAATTTTAAATTTGATGTACAGCCTGAAGTTTGTAATTTTGACACAATTTGGAACAGATTTTTACGAAGAGCAATTTTTAAAATTTTAAATTTCTAAATTGGTCATGTGACTAGGACATAAGAGTGTTCAGGGACTCCAGGGGATTAATCGTCAAATTAATTGTTATCGGCTAAATATCACACATTAATCGGGATTAATTTTTTTGCCAATATTGCACAACCACTATCTGTGATAGTGATTAAAAATAATCTACAGAAACATCAGATTCTTCTCTGCAGTCTGTTGTTAGCCATTTTAGCAATGCTCTATTGTTTACATGCAGACATTCCCCTCTGACATCACTTCCTGTTACTTCACATGCAAATATCTCAACAACTGTTCATCTCAGTGACATAAAATGGTTTTTATAATATCTTATTAGTRCTATCCTTCCAAAAATGCATTCTTTTTTATTATAAAAATTTGATGTCACAGACACTTTAAGGTGATATTACAGGTGGGCGGACTAAAGCAGCCGAGGAAGTGTATGAACAGGAAGTGTGCCCACAGGAAGCAGAGACAGAATAAAATATTCATCTAATCCATTAATCTAAACAACTTTGATTAATCAAGTACTGAAGTACTCTTTAGCTGCAGTCCTACACATCTGATTTAAATCAGTTCTTCACCTGTTGAATCAAATCAGGTGTGTTGGAGAGGTCCAACAGGGTAACAGGTCCACCAGAACCAGAACTGAACACCACTGATCTGTTGGTTAATAATTATGAATCATCTTGTTAGAGATTAAAAACCATTTTATGTTTGTCAAAACATGAAAATAAATGTTCACAGCTTAGAATAAGTTTAGAACAACATCTGTAAAAATGTGTGTTCACTAACCTTGACTGGCTGCGGTGGCCATCTTGAATTAAGGTAACTCTAAATGTTAGGGTTAAGACTTACTTTCTGAAAGTTTCATCAAAGTCTGTCCAAAGGATCACGAGATATTTCGCTAACAAACAGACAGGGTGGCCCCCGACAGATAAAGGCAAAGTTTTAAACAGAAATATTGCGTGTAGTTGTGTTTTCTAAGCTCACATAGCAGTGGTGGCCATCTTTGAAGTGTGTTGATTTTAAAAAAAGTATTTCATTTAATGATTACCTTCATTAAAATGTGTCCACTGGTTCTAGAGATATTTTGCTAACAGACAAACTTAACACATATGGGTAAACACATGATCACCCCTTTCTGTTGGAAAGAGACAATAAAAAGGGGAACAAAGTGTGTCTTTGACAAGATTCACAAAGACTTAATAATTTTTTAAGAGTTGTCTGTTTTGTGTGGACTGGTTCATCCCAGAGTTTAGAAGCTTTTGTACTTGAATAATGATTCATAGGTCAGAGTGCTTGTCAAACAAAATAACATTCCTGTTTAAATGGACCTGTACTGGACAAAACAAAGGCAGCACATGTCCAAAGACAAACTTTAAAGGTTGAATGAAGGTCTGGCTCATTGAAAGCAGACATTTAAAAAACACCAGCTCAGCTTTCCTAAAGGCAGAGGTGGGCAGCACTAATCCAAAAATTAGCTCCACTAGTCCTAAAACACTAACTCAATTATTTAGGTCCCCTAATTCTAAAGCACTAATGCACTGAAAGTTTTAGCAAAAGCTAATAGTAAAGCACTAAAATAACCCAGTCAACCCATGAACATACAACAGACAACATGAGTCACATGTTGCTCTCTTAAGACTCAGCTCTAGCTGTGTTTCCATTACAAATGTGCGCAAAACATTGTTAATATTCTGTTAATGTCAAAAAACACAGTTTCACA